CTCTCTCTCTCTCTCTCTCTCTCTCTCTCTCTCTCTCTCTCTCTCTCTCTCTCTCTCTCTCTCTCTGTGTGTGTGTGTGTGTGTGTGTGTGTGTTCGTGTTCAAGACAGGGTTTTGTGTGACTTATTCTTTTGCACGTGACAGGGAGAGCAGCTGACCAGACTTTGTGAGCCTTGTCTTCTTATGGGCCTGTTGCATAGGTTAGATTCCCATCAGCCCTCACCCTAAAGAACTACCTCATAACCCCTCCCTCCATGTCCTTAAGCCGCACCCCCTCTGCCAGAGTCATGCTCTTAACCCCAGGCATTTCGGGTAGGCTTATGCCGGACACAGGCCTATACTGTGTCTGGGTACCATGGCCCACAGTATAGTACAGTAGAGTGTACAAAAGGTGGTGGTCAGTTTGGCTGCGGGAGAAAAGTGTGTCTCTCAGACTCTGCCCTCTGGGTTCCCCCAGAGCTGATTCATGCAGAGTGGGGAATGACTGGGGTCTGCTCTTCTTTTCCCTCTCTGCAGAGTTACACATTCCTGATCTCCTCCGACTATGAGCGAGCCGAGTGGCGAGAGAGCATCCGGGAGCAGCAGAAGAAATGTGAGTGGGCCCTGTACCCAGAGAACTCGGCCTTCAGCCACCAGGGATGGATGGGTGGGTGGGTGGGTGGGTGGACGGACGGACAGACGGACGGACGGACGGGTGGGTGGGTGGGTGGACGGACAGACGGACGGGTGGGTGGGTGGACAGACGGATGGACAGATGACTACTCAGTGGACAGTTCTCAGTCTTCTAACGCTTCTCCTTTCCCCCGTTTCTCTGCTCTACTCTTCTTTTCAGGGGGGGCTTTAGACTGGGAAGGGGGGATGTTGCATGGAACCCGGCCTAATTCGGAACGTCAGAGGAACTGCCCAGCCCTCTTGTGCCCTCCCAGTGCTCGCCCAGCCAGTATGCCCTTTGACCTTCCTAGCTGTCTGTTCGCACACCATCTACCCTTCCCACCTGTCCTGGCCAGGCCTTGATGGCCTAATCCTTGGGCCTGTTCACCAGTCACTGTCTGACCCCCTGGGGCTCCATTGCCCTCCCTCTCCAGGCAGTGAAGAAGGAGCCGTTGCCTGGACGTACCTCAGGAACCACACCATAATGACCCCACTGTTGCTCACCCCCAAACAAGACTTCATCCTCCCTGTAATGACTCCTTCCTTCTCTAGGCGCTTCCCTCTGTCAGTGGGTTTTTTTCTCTCTCTGAAATTGCAAGCTACACTCTGGGTCCTGGGACAGTGTTGGGAACAGAATGGTAGACCTCACCCACAAGTCCTTGGCCTGCAGCTGCCCAACACCCCATTTTCCAAGAACTGCGTCCTCAGAGAGATCAGCAGCTTCTGCTGAAACAGGAGTTGGGGTTCAGTTTCTACAGATACAGCTGGGGGGGCTCTGCACGCCTCTGACCCCTTCTGAGTTCCTGTCTCTAAGACTCATCATGTATGCTATGCTGAATTAAGACCACTTTTTCCTTTCAGTGCCTGTATGGCCTGGGAGAGACCAAGGGCTTATGCCCCAGCGATTCTTGGCCTAACATGGGATCAAAACCATTTCCAGTATGGCAGCATCTGTCCCTGCTCCAAGTGGTGTCCAGAAATAAACCCCTTTGCTTCAGCTGACTGGGAGACATCACCCACCATAGCCTAGTGAAGGACAAGAGCTACACGGGTGTTTGTCTGGGGAGACCTACCAGGGAGATGCTTCCAGGCCAATCTGTCTATTCCAGCCTGCCTTGTGGCACTGTGCCTGGGCGGCAGGAGAACACATGTGAACATGAGTTATCAGCACGAGAACACGTGTGAACATGAGTTATCAGCACGAGAACACGTGTGAACATGAGTTAGCAGCAAGAGAACACGTGTGAATGTGAGTTATCAGCAGGAGAACACGTGTGAACTTGAGTTAGCAGCAAGAGAACACGTGTGAACATGAGTTAGCAGCAGGAGAACACGTGTGAACATGAGTTAGCAGCAAGAGAACACGTGTGAACATGAGTTAGCAGCAGGAGAACACGTGTGAACATGAAGTTATCAGCAAGAGAACACGTGTGAACGTGAGTTATCAGCAAGAGAACACGTGTGAACATGAAGTTATCAGCAAGAGAACACGTGTGAACGTGAGTTATCAGCAGGAGAACACGTGTGAACATGCGTTAGCAGCAGCATTGCTGACCCTCTCAGGGGCCCGTGGGCCTGGGCTCTTCGGGGCTTTGCATTGCCCTGTGCTATCCCCACATTTCGCCTGGGAGTCAGCAAGGCCCAGGGGGCCTTTCTGACCTTCCTGCCTCCGTGTGTCAAGGGGGTCGCTTGAGAGGGCTAGTACGGACTGACTTGTCCCCGTGCCTGCTCTGCCCCTTCAGGTTTCAAAAGTTTCTCTCTGACGTCGGTGGAGCTGCAAATGCTGACCAACTCGTGTGTGAAACTTCAGACCGTTCATCACATTCCACTGACCATCAACAAAGAGGGTAAGGCTGGGATCCTGGGCTCCGGGTTGATCTGGTAGGAGCGGTTTCAGCTCCTGGGCACCGGGCTGATCTCTTAGGAGCAGTTTCGGCTCCTGGGCACCGGGCTGATCTCTTAGGAGCAGTTTCGGCTCCTGGGCATCAGGCTGATCTTTTAGGAACAGTTTTTCCCCTTGAAGCCACTGCCGGACAGTTGTAAAGACTGACCATGCACGGGCTTTGTCCCTAGCCATACGGTTTGTGACAGCCGGTCAGACTGTCAGTACAGTGGGTGTGAACCCTGAGCAGCACTGAAACCATGGCAAGTTTTGTGTGCATACGGACTCAGTTAACACACACGGGTGTGTATTCAAGCACATGTGCTCCGCTCATACCCATGTCACCCCAACCCCCTCTCCTGTCTTTGGAATTTTGTTTTGGTCACCAGTTTGCCTGTGTTTTGAACCCAGCTAGATCCTAAGATACTAAATACAGCATCCATAGTGGGTACCCACTGTCTGTGATACTACCTCCCCCTGCAGTCCAGTCACCTTACCCTCCCATGCAGGGAAGGCAGAAAGTTGTACTCTGTGGTCTCTCCTGCAGATGATGAGTCTCCCGGGCTCTACGGCTTCCTGAATGTCATCGTCCACTCAGCCACTGGGTTTAAGCAGAGTTCAAGTAAGTGGCTTAGGGAGGGAGGTGGTGGACCCTGTAAGTAAACTTTCCTAGGAACATGTTGGGGTCCACTAGAGGCGCTGTTCCCTGTGGGCCCCTGCTGGATGAAGCCTGCTGGGAATGGGATTGTTTTCTCAGCGTTTGCCCACATCCGTCTCAGAGAACGAAGAACTCATACAGATGACCTGCCACCTGCTGGCAGGTCTTTTAATTACTGGGTCTGGGATTTGAGCCCGAGGCCTGATCGCAAGCAAAATGCCAGGGAGCCTAAGGTCCAATTCAGGGAACTGTAGGGAGCAGTCCCCCAAGTCCTTCAGCAGAGCAGATTTAGCTGGTTCGAGACCACCCTTTCTCTCCCAGCGAGCTGCTCTGGCTGTCTAAGGGTGGCCACACTACATCTTCCCATCTCCTCGCCTAGGTAGGTCCTTCCAGCCCTCAGGCCCGTGGTACTGAAGGGCAAGTAGAGTTTTGATCCTCTCCACACTGCTGCAGAACAGGAAGCCTCAACAAGTTCTGGAATGGGTCCGATAAAGGACTTGCATCTAGAATATACAAGGAACTCTTAAAACTGAGCACTAGGAAGATGCAGTTTCAAACATTTTGTTTTTAAACGAGCCGTGGGCTGGTGAGATGGCTCAGTGGGTAGAAGAGCCTCCCGTGCAAGTCTGGCCACCTAAGTTCAGCGCCTGGAGCCCACGATGAAAGGAGAGAACCTCCTAGAAGCTGTCCTCTGCCTTCCCCACATGCACTGTGAGCACACAAAGACATCCGCTCACACACGTCATGCATACACATACACAACACACGCATTGCATACACACTCACTTGTGTGTGCACATGCGCACAAAAACAATGCTAATTTTTTTAACATGAAAAAGATTTGAATAGAAGACACACCTCACCAAAGGAATAGTACATAGGTAGTAAGTACATGGGGAAAAAAAGGCTTGTCATGTTAGAAAAATGAAACTTAAAACCATGTTGAGATATCTGTTCATACACCCTGAGTCAGTGATCATCGGAAAGATGCACACTCGGGCTGGAGGTGTAGCTCAGTGGTAGATCCCCTGGCATGAATGGGGCTCTGTCTATCTCAGTGTAGAATGCAGTAAGTCCTAGTTCAAAAAATCCCCATAGTTTTTTTAAATGTCAACCCTGCTTAAAAGCCTCAAGTCTCATCTCATCTGAACTCCTATAAAACAAAAACAAGTTACATGTTTCCGACATAAAATTGCACAGAATAAACATTCTCATAGCCAAAGGCCTAAATGGGAGCTATCAAGGAAAGATAGGAATAAAGCAAACTTCAGCAGGGCAAACAGTAAAGCCTGCAGTTTTGTGTCCAGCATCTTGGACTCATGATAGACCTCTCTGAACTCAAGAGGATTGGGTAACCTCTCTGCCCTGCTCCGCCACCTGCAGCCCCTCTCTTTTGCTGTAGCTTCTCCATAGCTACAGTTTTCCTTGGTGGCTATCCATGGTCCTGACATCTTCACCGTGCTGGGTCTCCATTGCAACTTAGCTTCTACCTGCACAGCTTCACCTGGTGGCCTCTTGAGGCCTCCTCGAAGAGACTCCACCTCTCTTATACATTATCTGGCCCAGGTTGCGCTTTGAAAGCGTTGTGCAAGATTCTATGACCTCTTCGATCTTACATCTTTCATGTCTGTAAAATCAGTAATGCCATGCGGACAGTATTACCAGGTTCCCAGCCTGGGATGGAGTCTGGACCCCTGCACTGCATCTGTCCCAGCTTCCCTGAGCTGACCTGGGGAAACACTTCCCCAGCCAGTGATTTTGCAGGAGCAGGGAACCCTTCAGCTGTACCCTAGGTTCAGACTTTCTCCTTTCAAATGAATTTGCATCTTCACACTGGAGACTTTGGGGGTTGGGGTCTTGGCCTCGGGGCGCCTTTTGTTTTGTCCCAGTTGAAAGCACAGGTTTGTCTTTAACAATTACCGCTACATGGTCCCCTTGGGTGTTGGCTGCAGCTATCAACTTGTTCAAGCTCCCTTCCTTAACAAACTGCTCGTGTTTTATGTCTGGATAGCAACCGTGGGCAATAGCCGTGCCACAGCCTGGATGTCATCTTTCCTTGAAACTTCTTCCACGAAGCAAATTAGTCCGTTATTTTTAAAATTCAGCCTCACTCAAGTTCTCAGGAGATGGGCAGAATTCGGCCCGATTATTTGCCGGAATGTAACCAGAATGACCTCTGAAGCCTGCTGAGGTGGCCTCCACCATCCCAATGTCTCTCAGTCTCCAGACTCACACCAGAGTAGTTTCTTCAACTCTGCTCATGGCATCCGAGGGCATTTCTAACCCAGAGTTCCAGGCACTCCACGTTCCTCCAACAAACCAATTCCAAAGTCCTGGAACCACAGTCCTGCTTACCACAGCAACACCCTGCTTGTGGTACCAAGTCCCTGTATCTCTCTCTCTCTCTCTCTCTCTCTCTCTCTCTCTCTCTCTCTCTCTCTCTCTCGTTGTTGTTGTTGTTGTTGTTTGTTGTTGTGACAAATATCCCAACAGAGGCAGCTTAAGGAGAAAAGGGCTAATTCCAGTTCCTGGTTACGTACCATCCATCATAGTGGGGAGGTCACAGAGGCAGGAGGCTGCTAGTCTAGTCACATGGCACCCAGTCAGGAAGAGAGAGAGAGGGGGGGGGGAATACTTAAGCTAGCTTGCTTTCTCTTCTTCGCCAGCCTGTGGAATGGAACCACCCACATTCAGGCTGGGTCTTTACATCTCAATTAACCTAGTATAGATAATCTCTCACAGCAGTCTGTTTGCAAAGATTCGCCATATGTTTGTTCCATGAGCATCTTCCCCTCCCCTTGCCAAGCCTACCCCCAAGACTCATCCAGTAACAGACCAACGATGCCCGAGCTGCCTTCCTAACTCTTGGCTTCTCTCTCCTGACCAACCGTGTTCATTTATATCTGATATTTTACTCTTTAAACTTCAGCTTTAAACCAAGGGTATCACTTGCAGCCTCTGTTGCACTGTGAGACTCCTTGCCGTCAGTCCGGGGCCGTTCTCCATCAGTGTCTTAATCTATACTCCTCCGGACTCTTGACACTCGACTCACTGATAGCTGTCCTGTTCCACTGTACTGTCCCCTTGCCCTGTCAGTCAGATGTCATTATTCATTGCAGCAGCATCTTGGTCCATAAGCATGTAGGTCTTTGGCGTGGCCTTCCCAATCCCCACTGCCAGGCCTCCCTTACTCCTCATCCAGGACTTCCCAAAAATGCAGGACCCCTTCCTGTCATTTACCACGTACACTTGGTCCAACAAGTACCCCCGCTTCTCATCTTTCTCAGCCCTGCACTGGTGTGGAACTTCTCCGTGCTTCATGAAGTTCCTGTCAGGGTCTGCTCAGATCCTCGGAGCTCCCCCTAGGCTCCTGTTTCCACCCTTTGTTACTTCCAGGGTAGGAGACATCTGCTGTGGCCTCTCCACAACGCAACGCTCAGCCCACCCTGGCTTCCAAGGCCACATCCGCCTTTCCCCCTGCACACCCAGCATAGGTCCCCGGTCCCAGAAGGGGCTTTAGCAGACTATTGCCAAGTGCTGTGGAAGTGGGTGTTTTGAGAAGTCCTGTGTCCCATCCAGCTCCTCTGACTGGCCCAGGGGTATTGCCTGAGGGGCCCGTGTTTCTGTCAGCCACCGTTTGGGTTACCTTAAGAAGGAAAGGTCATTTTTTTCCCCTGACGTTGTAATCATACCTGCTCTGACGCAAGCTGGCAATACAGAAAGAAGACCGGTCACCCTCACCCTGTCCCTTTCTCCCAGATCTGTACTGCACCCTGGAGGTGGACTCCTTCGGGTATTTTGTGAACAAAGCGAAGACCCGCGTCTACAGGGACACGACTGAGCCAAACTGGAACGAGGTGAGGAGCCGACCCCCACCAGGATGTTTTCCACAGATCTTAATCTCTGGGGGCTCCCCGAGGGCTTCCCCCGTGTGGTTGCCGGCATTCCTGGAATCTCCTAGAGGTTGGGGGGGGGGGCGTATGATACAGCCAAGAGATTTTATCTCTGTGTTCCTGAGACTCTTACCCACCCACGCCCAGGAGAGGAATAGCCCATTTCTCCAGAGAAACATTTCGAAAGAATACTTTAAAAGGCTTTTGAATCCTGTTATAGCCTATTGTATAGTTGTTAGGTTTCTGGCTTGCCTTTTTCCTCCGAAACCGAAATGAACTCCTGGGGCTATTCTGGCTTCCGGAGTTCTTAGGCCCTGCTTGCCAAGGTTGTGGGCCTGGTTCCCTGAGCCTCCCTGTTCTGTTTCCAAGGGTCCCGTGTGCTTGTCTTGAGGTACTAGCTTGGCGTAGTCTGTTGGCTGTACTCCCCAACTGTGGGCCTTTGGCGTGGCACAATCGTACAGAAGCATGAAGTTGTCAGACTCTGAGTTGTCCCCTCTGGTCTCCGCAGTTGCCGTGACCCTAAACAGCCTTGAGTTAGTTGGCACAGGTGGAACAGCCGAGCTACAGAGCTGCCTCCCACCCCTTGCGCACCAAGGAGTGAACCGTAAAACACCAGGCAGCTTGGTCTCATCTACCTTGGTCATGTGGTTAACAGTGTAACCATGTGGCCAGATCCCTAGTCTTGCTTCATTGTGTCCCCTCATCGTCTGTCCATTATACATGTTGTCTAAGTAGGACGCGGACACGAGGGGCCCAGTAGTTACCTCTCAACTTCTCAGGACAAAAAGGCCAAATATAATTAATCTATGATAGTGGCAGAATAAAACCACGTGAGGCTTGCTTGGTAATACATTCTTGCGGTCCCGGTACATAGGAAGTAGAAGCAGGAGAATTGCCTGGCTTTCAAGACTAGCCCGGGCACATAGTGAATACCAGGCCAGCTCCATCTTTAAAAAAAAAAAAAGAAAGAAAGAAAAGAAAAAAAGCCACATGAAACCCATTGTAGATGGCTTTCAGAAAATAAGGGGACTAGGGGATTGTGACACCCCACAGAGGCAACAAAGATGGATTCTAGGTAGGTTGCAAAAGGCCTAGGTAGGCGTAATGGGGAGTCTCGGTCACCTGATGTGTACCTGCAGGTCATAGAGGGAATTCACATACTCCTAATACAACTTCCCAAAAATAGCTACTATGCCCATCTAGAGCCATGCATGCATAAGCATGGATGGAAAATGCAGAATTCCCTGGAGGCTCTGAAGGTTGATAGAGGAGCAAGTTAACTCCACATTAAGTGGCAAAGCCTTCTGTCTGGCCCTTCCATGGATTGTGGCTTTTCAAAGAGAACGTACGGAAGCCAGAATTTGCACTTGCTGAACACTGAATTGTACCCCTAGCTTCGGTTTTATTCTTCCGCCTTAGTGTGACAGCAGAATTAAGAGGAAGGGCAGAAATTCCCATAGACTCCCCGCTATTACGATCTTATACAATGTAATCTACCTGTATCGCACACCCATCATCGCCCAAAGGCTGCAGTTAGCCGTAGATGTACATGCTGTGGGTTTTCACAGATAAATGACGATATGTAGCGCCACTCTAGCACTACCCAGAACAGCTTCACGGCTCTGAAAATGAACGCACTTCACAGGTCGTTACCACCCAAAGTTATCAAACACCTGTCTCTAACAATCACCCCGAGATTCTGAAGCCGTCAGTATCAAGCCCACTCTTTGGAGACAGATGCTGTTGTGCCACATTTGAGTTAGGTTTTAAAAGGCTTCTAGAAGCTGGGTGGTGGCGGTATATACCTTTAATCCCAGCACTTGGAAGGCAGAAGCAGGCATATCTCTGTAAGTTTGAGGCCGGTGTGGCCTACAAGAGCTAGTTCCAAGACAGGCTCCAAAGGTACAGAGAAACTCTTGTCTTGAAAAAACAAACAAACAAAAGCTTCCAGAAAATTCCAATCAGAGACCCACAGTGTGGTGACAGCAGTGTCCACAGGGATGTTCACAAGGATCCCAAGACCAAGGGAGGAGATTTATGTAAGGTCTGGGTCCTTCTTGGGCAGCAGGGGTACCATTTGTTGTTAAACCGTGGTTCAGACATGATGTTGAACCTGCCACATCCCTGGTTGGACCTGCTTGTTCGTGGGTAACTTTCTTTCTTTTGGGAAACCACAGGAGTTCGAGATAGAGCTGGAAGGCTCCCAGACCCTGCGGATACTGTGCTATGAAAAGTGTTACAACAAGATGAAGATCACCAAGGAGGATGGCGAGAGCACAGACAAGCTCATGGGGAAAGGTCAGCTCCAGGTGAGCCCGCCTCACTCCCACCCCTGGATGGAATGCTCCATGGCCTTTTCCACGTGAGGCTGATAAAACGGCCTAACTCCTGGGATGGAGGATAGCCAGCCCAGTCATGGGTCCTTCCTTCTTTTCTCTCTGTCTGTTATATCACACTGTCTTGTCCCCCAAAGATTTTCTGTCAGACTTGTTCTTGCAGCTGAAGCCGTAACTTCTCTGATGGTTCTAGCAGCCCCACAAGCACTTAGAAAGCCCGTGTTCATTCGGATTGCAGCCCGTGCTTTCTCATGGTGCTTACAGCAGATCTTTTCTTAGAAGGGAGTGAACCCAGGACCTTGCATATGCTAAGCAAGTGTTCTACCGCTGTTCTACAACCCTGTCCCTTCCTTGTGTTAGTCAGAGGCAGAGTCCTACTGACTTGCGTAGGCAGGCCTGAACTCACCTACAGGCCGACTGTCTCAGACTTTTCAGTAGATGGGAGCTGGTGTGCGCTACACCCAGCTGCAGCAAATCTTGAAGAAGGCTCATTTGACGTTCAAGGAGACACCTTCCCAACTATTTCCGGCCCTCTGATGAGCAGTACTGTCTGGAACTTGTTGGGGCTCCAGTTCCCTTCTCCCTCTTGGTATCTGCCCACAACCCAGGCTTTCTTCGTGCATATCCCAGACCCTGGTACCCTCTTGAAGCTCCTGTTACCCAGCCTCACTCAGGGGTGATCCCAAGGATCCTTCATGGTTTTATCAAGTACAGTAAAGAGAAATTCAGGCCTCACTAGTCGTCTTGAACCTCTGGAATCTTGGGAATGGCTGGATTTGAACCAGGACCTCTGAGTACCACCACTGGAAAACTAGGGATCTCAGTAGGAAGAGAGCAGAGCTACTATATCAAACCAAGCTTCTTTGGCACCCCCTTGCTGTGATGCTGCCATATAAACAAAATGTTTCTTGATGCATTTGCTTTTGGGGGGGGGGGGAGGCAGTCTGGAGTGCCCTGCAACCAGCCTAGTGAAGAGAAGAGAAATGTCCAGAGCTGAGAGCAGTGAAGGCGGCAGAGGCAGCTATGTTCAGGATGCTTCCAGGAGGGAAGAGATACCTTTATATAGAACAGGGCTCAGCTCCAGATACAGTGCAGACAAGTGGACATTCACAGCCAAGGAACAGAGTGAAGGTCAGTGGATAGACGATTACTAACGGGAAATGGCTGTGTGTACGGAGGATCCTGGCTAGACCAGCCTACTAGGGTTTTTTTCTGAAGGAAGGGCAGGTCAGCAGACATCACCTGGAGGAAGATAGGAGATAAAGAACCCAACCAGATATCCAAGGTGGCGGTGCACATCTGTAATCCCAGCACTTTGGAGGTGGAGGCAGGAAATCCATGATTCCAGGACCAGTCACAGCCACGTGGTGAATTGTTAGAGGCCAGTCTGGGCTTTATGAGACACAACAAACAAACACAAAAAAGCTAGTATGAGGGCGAGATAGTTGATACAGAGGCTTGAGTGTTACCTCCAACATCCATGTGTGAAAAAGAGGGGACAGGGATAAATGTCCCGTGTGATGACACGCTTCTAATCCCAGCACTGGGAAATGGAGACAGACAGATTCCCTGGACCTTGCTGGCCGGCCTGTCCTTACCTCAATAGAAACAAGGTGGCTGGCACCTGAGGAACGACACCTGAGGTTGGCCTCTGGCCTCCACAAACATATATACATACACACACAAAATAAAGCACCCCTAAGTGTGTGTGTGTGTGTGTGTGTGTGTGTGTGTGTGTGTGATCTCAGCATAGAGGTTTCTAATAATACTGACTTAACAGTATCCTCACTCAGACTGGGTTTCTGAACATGCCCAGGGATAAAGCCATGGTGAACAAAGAGCTGGGAGCCCGGTTAGTATAGTAAAGAAGCTAATCTCATCTCTGTCAGCTCCCCGGCCTGCCGTGCTCTGTGGGACCCAAGTGAGTCATAACCCCGTCACCCTTCCAGCTGTTGTTTCCTTACGTCTAGGCTAGAGTGGGAGACATGATACATCGGGGCTCGGTGACGTATCCCTGGGACCTGGTCAGCATTTGGTTCTGTTATTATTATTTGTTACCGTCATGGTTAGCGAAGAGGAATTGGAGACAGTTGGATGCGCCAGCCCCCCCCCCCCCCGTCACTGCTGTGGCCTGAGATGAATGGCTTCTGGAACCTCATTAAACAGGAAGGAACCCAAATGCTTGTATGGGTCTAGATGACTCATACCCGCCTACACAGTGGCTGCCCTGTCTCCTGGCAACGAGGGCTTGTTCGTGTGATCTCAGGAGGAAGGAAACAGGAGGAGGAGCTGTGACATGGTGATGCTCCAGTCTGGCTCCATCCTCCGGCCTGCTGGCTTTTTCTCACCTGCAGATGCTGTTGTCTGGGTTAGGTGTACCTAGGAGAGCCATCTGTAACTTGTTAAGGCTAGCCTCCCTTAGCCCAGGCTTCCCCACTGGCATCAGTGCCTTCCATGTGTGTCGTGTGGGTTGGATGCCAAGCTGTCCATTTCCTGCTGCTGGGAGTTGATAGGGATGGCAACCTTGGCTCAGACACTGAGTAGAGAGACTTGAGATAGTATGACCTTGCACTGAGATGACGTCACAGTCCTGGATATCCAAGGGAGGACAGAAAGAGAAGTCCAGTCCCAGGGAGGAGAGCGGGGCCCAAGGCAAGGGCCAGAATGGAAGCTGGGACTCTCATGGTATGGTCTATGCACATCCCAGGACAGGAGGTGTCAGATTCTTCTGAGGTTAAGAACCTGCCTCAGCATGCTTTTTGTTCCATAAATGTTATTATCGATCACTTACTTCAAGAATCATAGCCTGGTTGGGCATTTAAGAGCTAGGCAGTGGTGGCACATGCCTTTAATCCCAGCATTCAGGAGGCAGAGGCAGGCGGATCTCTGTGAGTTCGAGGCCAGCCTGGTCTACAAGAGCTAGTTCCAGGACAGGCACCAAAGCTACAGCAAAACCCTGTCTCAAAATCTTTGGTTTTTGCTCTTCCTGAAGATGGAGTTCCACAAGAGAAAGAGTAGAGGGTTCCCTCTTTCTGAATTCGATACACAGGTCAGGAAGAGGGAGAGGTGTGCATAACATACAGCCATTTATCCCCCAAGCTTTCTGATCCAGAGTGGAGAGACTCAAGACTACAGATGCACCACAAGCCAGGGCAAGCCTACTGGCAAGGTCACACTGGCTCAGATCAGGGCATAGGGGAAACCTTCACAGGAAGGGACACTAGGTGTATATCATCAGAGAGAGGCTTCCCAAGGTAATGTCATGAAGTTTTACACCCCAAGGCCGGCAGTAGCCCGGGATTTGTGGGGATACCTGTGCTGGGAGGATGCCATTCTGTAGCCTGGTAGGATGTGGTCAGGACAGGGACAGGATTCAGAGAGCACCATCCTCAGCTAGGGCCACCATTCAAAGGAAACTGTCAGACTCAGCGAACTGGAACTCTTGGGGCCTTGTATCCATCAGAGTTTTCTCCTGCCTCTTCTCTTCCCTCGTTTCCATTTGCAGACTTTCTAAGCTGATGAATTCCCATAGATGATGAACTACAAGAGTTCTTTCTTGGGGAAAAACATCATATCGAGTCATAGGATCTTGTCTTTTCCCATGTTCCCCTCTTGTGCCATCTCTCTTAACCTTCTGAGTCCAGCTGGGGTTATGACTCAGGTTCCCACAGAGCCTTCTGGGTCATAATAGTTTTTGTCTTCAGAGTTTTGTTTGTTCTGCACATTTTATATCAACAGAATCGTGCTAGAGGTAATCTTCCGTGACCATTTTGGTTTTTTCGAGACTGGGTTTCTCTGTGTAGCTTTGGCTGTTCTGGAACTCTTTCTATAGGCCAGGCTGGCCTCGAACTCACAGGGATCCAGCTGTCTCTGCCTCCCCAGTGCTAAGATTAAAGGCGTGTGCCACTACCACCCAGCTGACTGTTGTTTTTAAGGGTTATCTGCTTCTTGATATTATTAATAAGTAACTAAATGAGATTACCCTGTCATGGCCTACAGTTTTGTTTCTCTGATTATTAGGCTATTGTGGTTGGCGCCACTGTGACCCCGTGGCATTGGTATAAGTCAGTATGGATGACTGCTCTCCAACCATAGGCAGAGGAGGTTCCAGGTCCCATTCAGTGCCTGCCCTGGTTAAACTGAGGCATGCCCCTACCTGTCCTGGTGTGTACTAAGCAGTTTTCTAGGCAGGCCCCTGGGTAGCCGTCCACCAGATCCACTGACCACAGCTGTCCTTCTGCGTTCTTCCTGGTCCAGTCCCAGTGAGACAGTGGTGTTACAGGTTGCCCTTCTGAGACCACTGTATGAGCACGCACGTGCTGGCTGCCCAGTGGCTGTGTGGAACTTTGGCACCTTACAGCCCCAACGGCCCTGAGGGCTTTAGCTTTTCCCTGCGCTTCTGTTTAATAGCCCGTGCCCCTCGGTCATCAGTGTTTCCAAATCTCGGTCTCTTGCTTGTTTATTTCTCTGGAACTTTAAGTAACGGCATGGGAAGGTGTGCCAGCCTTGGCTCCCGTTAGCCGGGTAGCCCGTGGGAAGGTGCGCCAGCCTGGACTGCCGTTTGCCGCATAGCCCAGCCCTCCTTATCCTGTTATTCTTTACATGGTTTCTGCTCTGCTAAGCACATTCTGTTCTCTGAGGCAAATCTACTTATTCGAGGCTGCTGTTAGAACCGAGTGTCTAGACACCAGCATAAGCTACAGATGGGGGTCTGGTGTCTGACTGGCCGGATACCAGCAGCTCTGGGCAGTTAATACCGGTAGACCTCGGTGCTTAGGAGTGGACAGGGTCTAGATCAGCAAGGCCTTGGAAGCTCGTCTACAGGGGACAGGGTCTACACTCAGGATGCTCTCCGCTCCAGTCCCATTGACGGCAGTACATGCGATTTAGAACTGTCAGCAGGCCTGGAAGCATTCTAACAGGACCCTACCAGCCTGAAGCGGACTGACCAACAACACATGTTACTCAGTGTCTCTAAATTTGGACACAGGAAACCACCCACTCGAAAAGGAGACTCCAGCATAAGAGGAGACTGTGACATATCGGAGTTCCCGTAACCAATAGGCTCTGGAGCGGGAGCTGTTTTTCCCATATACTGACCAAAAAACAAAAGTGGAATGTGAGGATGATGGGAAGCTGGGACCTTGGCTGGCCCCACTGTAGGGTGGAGCTTCCCCGGGAGAGCCTGTTCAAAAGGAGATGGAGGCTAGGAGCTCGCCACTGTGCTGCTGTTCGGTTCCTCAAGCTCCTGCCGCCTGACCCCCGTCGCCATGCAGGGTTTCATTCGGTTTTTCTACCCCAGCCGGGCAAGCCGCAGCCGGGTAGCCTCTGCTGAAAAACAGCTGTGTGCCCGAGGCACTGCCCTGTGGACCCACATTCGATGTCTGGTGTGCAAGGGCAAGGTGGGCCAGTCAGGGCCTGGGGTCCCAGGTGGGCTGGGAAGGGGGGGGTTCCAGGCACCCATGGCTCAGGCAGCTGCTCTCCTTACCCCGCTGCTCTCTCAGTCTTAGGAATGCCAGCACTCGTGACCTTTGCCTATCCTGGGTCTTTAGGAATGAGGGGGGTCTCCATTATCTGTCCTGGGATGGAAAGGGAAGGTTTGCCTTTCTCAACTTGCTTCTGAAGAAGGAAGGGGCGCTGCTGTCCTTGGGCAACCAAGAGAGGTGGGCCCTGGGATTCCTACAAGGAAGTAGGAGGCAAGGACGGGAGTTTCCCCACACCACAGATTCCCACACTGAAAAGAGGTTAATTCTTTGTGTAAAGAGCCTGGGAAGCCGTGGTGGTTGTTTTTTAATCTCTGAATTTTGGGGTACTAGAGATAAAAATCCAAGGCTCTTTTTGTTCGTTTGTTTGTTGTTTTAGTTTTTGATTTTTGAGACACGGTCTCTCTGTAGCTTTGGAGCCTGTCCTGGAACTAGCTCTTGTAGACCAGGCTGGCCTCGAACTCACAGAGATCCGCCTGCCTTTGCCTCCCGAGTGCTGGGATTAAAGGCATGCGCCACTGCTGCCTGGCGAAATCCAATATTCTTGTACACACCAGCAAGAGCTCTCCCACAGAGCCACCCTCAGTTCATGGTGTGTTTTCAGAAGCCCTCCGGTTGCTTATGTAGCCTAGCTAGTGGCCTCTCCGAAGCTCCCTGTGAGAGCTAAGGGGTACTCATCAGGCAGGGGAAGCAGTGCCATAGATGGGGGCACGTGGCAGTTATGAAGACTGCTTATTCAGGTGACATACTACAGTAGGGTCCTATAGACCGGCTGCCAGACAGCGTTCTGCAGAGGTCAAAGTGGGAGGGTACAGTGAGGCTTCCGTCTGATTTTGGGGTGCCGCTCTATGCCTTGATGCTCTTGATGCTCCGCCCTCCCACAGTCCCCACTGAAATTAGTTTTCATCCCAGACTGCCCTGCATTCAGATCTGGCAGCCCCTCTGGCAAATACAAGGACTTATATTCCATCTGTGGCAGGGGTGGAGAGCAGGGCTCATGGCAGTGAGCTGTGGCACTCTGAGGTTCCAGAACTGTCTGACAGGTCAGTCCGCCTCTCTGGCCGCCATCGGAGAGTATAGGACAGCAGCAGGGGTGGCCACTGCTGGGCAGAGCCTCCAAGCAGACCTGAGGGCCTCTTCTAATCATTCATCCTTGGTTTCAGTTGGACCCCCAAACGCTACAGGACAGAGACTGGCAGCGGACTGTCATCGACATGAATGGGGTGAGTGCCCACGGGGCTCTGTTTGCGCCTGTCTCCCACTGAAAGTTAAAGCAGACCCAGTTCCATCCAGCACAGTCAGAAGACGGCTAAAGCCTGAGATATTAGCTGGAGAACGGGATCCAGAGGAGGCCGTGTAGGTGGGAGGGAGGGGTACCCCCAGGAGTCTCCAGGAGTGCTGTGTACACGGCAGAAGGGGAGACCTCCAGAGCAGACACACCGTACACAGGAAGGAGCGCTGTATCTGGTGGCCGGTTGCTACCCAGACCCTGCGTGTGTTCCATCCTGAAGGGAAAGATCTGTATTAGGGGCCCTGGGACCGCATCTCACAGAACACTTGAGATCCACTGCGGTTGTCTTTGGCTGTCTCAGGGAAATGGATCCAAAAAGATTGGGACTAGAGCAGTTTTAGAGACCCCCCCCCCTTTTTCTGATGATGAAATATTTGCAGGCACATAAGCATTCTTGGACACGGACCCAAACATAAATATGAAATTTACTATTATTTTATATATAACTTACATGCGTAGCTGGGGGGGGTTATTTTATGCATCTTAACTCATTAGCGGGGAGGTCAGTTGGGTGCAGAACCCTGCACGTGCATCACGGAGTTCAGGGACTTTACAGTTTGAGAACAGTTTAGATTTCCAGATGAGGACGCTTGACCTGTTGCTTTTGCTGTGGATCCTTTTTTGAGGGGTGGCGGTGGTTTGATTGTTTTGTTTTCTTTTGCTTTGTTCTGATACTTTGAATTGAAGGCTGTACCTTGTGCATGCTAAGTTTGTGCACCACCGCTGAGCTACTCACTCCAACCCCACCTATTTATTTTTTTAATTATTACTTCAAAAACTAAAGGGAAACAGGGCTGGAGAGTGGCTCAGGGGTTAAGAGCACTGACTGTTCTTCTAGAGGATCCAGGTTCAATTCCCAGCACCCACGTGGCAGTTCACAACTGTCTGTAACTCCAGTTCCAGGGGTCCAATACCCATGGCAAAACACCAATGCACATTAAAAAAAAATGACTCTTACTGACTACAACATCTCATTATGGGTCCTTGACTTATTTGCCCTGGGGGTGAAAAAGTTTCTTGGGCTAGGACCTTCAGGGACCCTGAGAGTTCAGCCCAAGAGGTCCAGAGGGTGAAAGACCCACGCCCTCTCTTTCTATTGCAGATCGAAGTGAAACTTTCCGTCAAGTTCACGAGTAGGGAGTTCAGCTTGAAGAGAATGCCTTCCCGCAAACAGACTGGGGTCTTCGGGGTCAAGATTGCGGTAGTCACAAAGTGAGTGGTGGGTGATGTGGGCTTGTCTGTGAAGGCCTTCTGCAGGCAGGTCTGAGGGAAAGGCCTGTTCTCTCAGTGCCTGGCCCTGCTGGCTGCCTTTTAGAGGAGGGGGGGGGGGTTATGGAGAGAGGGGTAGCCCCAGGGAAGACTACAAGTCTTTGCTTAGCCACCTCCTGTGTTTATTGCAAAACCAGCTCAGGAATGTCTCACCTCCTGGTCAGGAACTGCCCAAGTGCAGGACTTGCTTCCCTCGCTTGGGATATGTTGTGATCCTGAGTTCCTGTTGAACAATTTGAACCTCGGCCCTCTTGTTATGAGCCTGTTGCCAGGAGATGCCTGTTTGTTGGTTTGAGGGCAATTCTTGGGAATACAGGCCACTTCCTCCCAGACTTCAGCCACTTCCCCAGGATGGAATATTGGCTGCGCCATTCATTGTCCAGCACTGACATGTGTCCAAGCACACTCTTGTCCTCTGAGAGATTCCGCTTCCAAGCTGTTCCAGAAAATGAGGATGTGCACTCTCGGGAGGAAGACACGCCCCTCTCTTCCCCCATGTAACTATGGGGTTGGGGCTTGGAAGGGACCTGGTTGTGTGTGTGTCTGAGTCCGGCTATGAGTGAAGCTAAGTTCGTGTCTCCATACAGCAGTGGTTTCTAGCTTCAAAGCATTCTCCTTCCAGAGCTGTACCAGGAGGTCCAGAGGCTGTCGTAAGAGAAAGCCTTTAAAATGGCAAGGTACCTGGGTACATGCAGCATGTCCCAGGATTGCTATTGCTGAGATGAAACACCATGACCAAAGAAACTTAAGGAGGACAGAGTGTATCCGTATCACTGTTCATCACTGAAAGAAGTCGGGGCAGGAACCTGGAAGCAGGGGCTGATGCAGAGGTAGTGGAGGGGTGCTGCTTACTGGCTTGCTCTTCATGGCTTGCTCAGCCTGCTTTCTTATAGAACTCAGGAGTAGAAACACCCACAATGGACTGGGCCCTCTCCATCAATCACCCCATCGATCAGTTAATTAAGAAAGTGCCTTACAGCCAGATCTTATGTAGGCATTTTCTCAATTGAGATTCCCTCTTTTCAGATAACTCCAGCTTGTGTCAAGTTGACTTAAAACTATCCAACACACAACAAATGCACGGTGTTTACCCTATGCAAACCTTAGCTCTCGAGGAATTCACTGTGCAGCATTCAGGTGCCTGGGCCAATACCCTGCCCCACTTCCTGTCTTAGAGGTGAGAGTCTTTTTCAGGACTCCAGGAAGCTTTTGGTCCGTTCACTTCCTGGGGCATTGTTGCCTAGGAAAGCTCCTAGGTTGAAGATGAGCTCAGAGCACTTTCCCAGCATCTGTGAGGTATGCATGTGTGCCCTCCAGCACCATGGAAGAAAATAGCAAAGGCCTCCTGACCTAACCACAGCATTATATATAATTCAAAATATGATTGGCTGCTTCAGGCTCTCAGAAAGTTAAGAACTCGCAGTAGGAAGGAAAACTTGCCCAGGGTTACCTGTGTACCCTTGAACTGTACACACCTTCTTCTCCCCCCTGCAGGAGAGAGAGGTCCAAGGTACCCTACATTGTGCGCCAGTGTGTGGAGGAGATTGAACGCCGGGGCATGGAGGAAGTGGGCATCTACCGAGTGTCTGGAGTGGCCACAGACATCCAGGCACTGAAGGCGGCCTTCGATGTCAGTGAGTATTGCCTAGCAGTGTGGGACAGATGGTGGTGTCCACACTGAGACTCCCGGGGAGGGGAGGGGGGCTAGAACATCAGTCTCTCTCTTTTCCTTTCTTTCTGTTTTATTATTGAGGAGTACAAGGCGGAAACTGGATGCGGCAATATGAGCCTGTGCTTTAACATCCAGGAGGATAAGCCAGGAGTAGCTACTGTCAGCCTGGACTACATGAGTTCCAAGCTAGCTTTAGCCTCATCATGATTTCCTGTGTCAAATAGATAGATGATTGATTGATTGGTTGATTGATTGATTGATTGATGGTTGATAATTAGTACCTATAATCTCAGTATTCATGAGGTAGACACAAGGATTGCTGCAAATTCAAGAAGAGCCTACAGGCCTTTTTTCTTTTCTTTTCTTTTCTTTTTTTTCTTTTTTGTCAGGACAGGGTTTCTCTGTAGCTTTGGAGCCTATTCTGGCACTCGCTCTATAGACCAGGCTGGCCTCAAACTCACAGGGGTCCACCTGCCTCTGCCTCCCAAGTACTGGGATTAAACACATGGGCCACCACCGCCTAGCCTACAGGCCAATCTTATGGAAGAATTTTCTCGGTTGAGGTTCCCTCTTCCAGGTATATCTAGGTTTGTTTCACCTTGATGAAAACCAACCAACACAGGGTCCTTACCCAGCATCCCCAGAGAACAAGAAGATAGAAGCAGGACTTGACAGGACTTTGTACCACTTTCCTGGCCTAGGCCATCAAGCACCCTTTGATGAGCCTTGCTGCACCTTCAGCTTCTCTGGACAACCAGAGCAGGCCTGCTGTCCAGTGCACAAGACCCCCAGTGGCCACCTAAGTCCAAAGAAAACACCTAATAAGACCACAGAAATGACCTTAATAACCCCAGGGCCTTCCTGTGGAAAGAAGCTGCCACCCAGGCAGCTGTTCGGTACGGAACAGAGTTGCCTGATTCCTACCTAGGCTCCCTGAGCTCTGCCTTCTCCTGCCCTGGCCTGCCTGGCTCTGCACCTCGGTGGCTCTGCAGCTGGACTGCCCTTCGCAGCATAGAGCAGAGACATGGGCAGAGGTGTGAGATACTCTTGTTTCCCAGCAACTCTGCCCACACTCCGTCACACAGACACTTAGGAGAAAGTGGACAGACTACATAAAGGGGCCGGGCACACACATTTGGCAACATGATGGTAGTCGCATTAGCTCCGGCAGGGTTGCAGAAGCCCAGCCCGCATAAAGGCTCCGTCTCTATGATCTTTCCAGATAATAAGGATGTGTCCGTGATGATGAGCGAGATGGACGTGAATGCCATTGCCGGCACGCTGAAGCTTTACTTCCGCGAGCTGCCCGAGCCCCTCTTCACTGATGAGTTCTACCCCAACTTCGCAGAGGGCATCGGTGAGCATTGCTGGCCTCGGCCTTGCGGGAGGCGTCCCCCTCCCTCTTCTCTCTACTGCCACTGTTAGGAGAGGGAATCAGGGCCATTCCCCTCTCTGCTCTTCCATATTAGAACCCGACCTAAGAGAGCTGGCTGTGTGGGAGACAAAAGCCAAGCCATCTGTGGGTTGTCCGAAGCTACCTCTCCTCTCAGTACGGCCAGAGGGTATCAGTGTCTCCACTGTTGTGTCCAGCTGTGGGACCCTGATAGAGCAGCATTGAATGGATGGCGTGCCGGGCCAAAAGAAACCCCTAACACTTGAACCCCAGGTCCTGGCCTAGACAAGCAGAGGTTCAAGTCAACCTGAAGGATGGTACTCAAAGTGGCCACTGGCACAGACCAGCATAGCTCCTGCCTCGCCCTTAGGATGACCCAGCCTGTAGGGCCAGTTCACCAGAAGACCTGGACCGTCAGGCCTGAAAGTGCCCCTTGGGTGCACATGAAAATAAGGGAAACTCCCAGGGACTGGGGCAGGGGCCTTTCAACCCCCCAGTTCTCTTTATCCCGACTCTGTGTGCTTCCTTCAGAGTTTGGGCTCTGTAGGTCTTAACAGCAGCAGATAGTGGCCCTGAGCACAGTTCTGCCCACAGGCAGCAGCCGTCAGGATACCTGTTGAACAGGTGCCTAGGGTGCTGTTTACCCTTTGAGATGAGAGAAGGCTTTCCGGGTGTCTCCCATGCCATATAAACAGCCACCACAGGGTCCTTCTCAGTGGGGGTTAATCTAAGCGGTGTGAACCCAGACAGTGATGGGTCTGAACTCCATGGTGTCTTCCCTCCTAGGCTTTGGATACCTCATCTGACATGCTTAGGAGAGGGGTCTCTGGCTTCTGCTATATGACCCTGGAAACTAAGCTTCCTCTCTCTGTAGCTCTTTCAGACCCTGTTGCAAAAGAGAGCTGCATGCTCAACTTGCTGCTGTCCCTCCCAGAGGCCAACCTAGTGACCTTCCTTTTCCTTCTGGACCACTTGAAAAGGTAGTGCCTGTTCTCCCATGCAGCCCAAGACCCCAGGAAACGGGACACCAAGGGCCTTTTCTCCTCCCAGGTCTGCAGTAGTTTCCCACACTAGGGGCCAGAGCCTTTGCCATCTTGTCCCTCTGCACCGTGACATTAAGTCAACAGCCAGAATTGCACTTGAACTTGTCCTTTACTCCCAGATCATGGCCCTAGAGCTATCCCAGCTGCCCATTGGTCTTGAGTTCTCTTGATCCTGGGCTTCTCGGACCCTGGGGTGGAATCCTTACCTCTGCCCTGAGTGTGGGGATGTTGAAACAGGATCCTCTGCTTTGGCCTTACACAGGGTGGCTGAAAAGGAGCCAGTGAACAAGATGTCCCTGCATAACCTCGCCACAGTCTTTGGCCCCACGCTGCTTCGACCTTCAGAGAAGGAAAGCAAGCTTCCTGCGAACCCCAACCAGCCCATCACCATGACTGACAGCTGGTCCCTGGAGGTTATGTCCCAGGTAGAGGAAAGACTGTAGTCGATGTTACCCTAGCTTGACATAGGTGGACTCAGCCTACCCCAGCCTGGGTCTTGTTAGTCAGTCCCAGCTCTACTGCAGAGGCCTACCTCCTACCCCTGAGAGGGCCAGGAACGAAGGACCCTGGCTACTTCGATTCCCTCTGTACCTGACTAGATTTGCAAGGCCCAAGGCCCAGCCCACCTGCTGGTCTTTCGAGTGCACATAGCCTAGGTCTTAAGACTTCATCATGTGTAGTCGGACACCTTCCTTATCCGAGGTGTCTTGATGTGTGGGGCTGTTGTCACTGACAGGATCTCTTATTAACCCCTGAGCTGGGTGAGCCAAGGCGAGCTCCCCAACCCCAACCCAGTGCACCCTCTTACCTCTTTGCCCTCCCTTCTCTGCCGGGACAGGTCCAAGTGTTGCTGTACTTCCTGCAGCTGGAGGCCATCCCCGCCCCCGACAGCAAGAGACAGAGCATCCTGTTCTCCACCGAAGTCTAAAGGCCTGGCATCAGTCGTCTCAGTAAGAGGCCCGCAGAATGACCTGGAAACCTGTGACGAGAGAATCCATCCCCGGAGTGGGAACGGGACTCTTCTTGTGGTGTAATTTAACCATTCCCAAGCTCTGGGCCATCTGTCAAGAGACAAGTACCCAAAGCTGAAGGCCCAAGGGGGGCCTATACAAACCATCCAGGTGTGTCTGCAAGTCCCAGGCTGGCCCCAGACTGTACTCTTCCCTTGTTGCCGCCAGAGGGCACCCCAGGCCAGCCCATCCGCCAGCCTGCATACAAGGGAAAGGTGGCGAAGAGAGTGGTTTTTACGAATCTAATTTATCATAAGAGTTCTAAGGAAAAAAAAAATCTCTACTGGATCATTTGTTCCGATGCACCCTCTCTGGGGAATAGGGACACCACCAGATCCCTCACTCTTGTGTCTTGAATAAACACTGCTGCTGCTTCATATTGTGGGGGCCACAGCCATGTCCCTGTGTGGGTGGGGATATCTCCACTTCCCTGACTTTGAGTTCCACTGTCTGTGTACCAGGGCTTGAGATGCCGAGCCAGCGCTGTAGCATCTTGACTCCTTGCTGCTTGCTTTGTCTTCCTCCAAGGCTGTGCAGAAGTAGGTCAGGCTCCTGTTGGCTGATACTCTTGTTTTTGCTAGCTGTGCAGTTCTCAGGAGTATGCTCCATCGCAGCCCAGAAGTGTCCGGGGACCAGACACAGGGGGAAGGAGGTCCTGGCCGGGCATCTTATGGTTCCTTCTGCAGGGAGAGCGGCCGTGTCCACTGATCCCCATCGCCTGCCTGGCACCTGTCTCCCTTTTGGCTGACAAAGGCTGTGACTTCTCTGGCCTGGCTCTGACTACTCTCTCTGTCCCTTGTTGTCCCACATAAACATCACGTGATCACATCCTTTCCTTGCCCTCAACTGAGCAGACTCAGTTAACTTTTGTAGAGGTTTCTGCTCCGAAGCAGCAACTTGCTCTAGTGGCTTGTTTTAAAACTTTGATCCGAAATAGCTTTTGATACTTGAATATTTTTAAGTTTTATACATAGTTTCTAATTTTTTTCCTAATGGATTCAGACACCTAATATAAGATACTAGAATGTACACCGTGGACGGGCAGTGTCCCATGCAGCATTCTGTCTTCCTTCGGGAGCCAGCTTTCTTTTTGCTTGGAGTCATTTCTGATGTCTCTGGGACATCGGAAACATGGGAAGAAGATAAGGAAAGTCAGACCTGGGGTGGGAGCAGACACCCCAAAGCAGATTGGAAGCCAACCCACCTTCCGAGAACATCTGGGAAAAATAAAGCCTATATTCAGGCAAGAGTTGGGATAGTCTCTTCCTGACCACCCTAGAGAGTAAAAAGAGAAAGGAGACACCACCAGTTATTTTCAAGGAAGAAATCCACAAATCCTTGCATCGCTTTTAAAAAGGTCTTAGAATCCTACACTTGGGAGGCTGGGGCAGAATTGCCGTGAGTTCAAGACCAGCCTTGGCAGCATAGAGCTTATCGGGCCAGCCAAGGCTCCAGTGCAGGGCTGTGGGACAGGGACGTGGAGTAGACGGGGAGAGAAGAAAGACTATAGACTTGAATCCCAAGCTGCTCCTGCAGAAGGGGGTGTATAGATTGCTTGTCACGGAGGACTCTTGCACCTGGTCACATACCCCACGGTCCCTCCCATGTGTGGAAGGTGGTGGGTATGTCCACATACAGCATCTGCCAACTCCATAACCCATGGGGATTCCCAAGAGGCAGGGCCATGTATGTATTCCCCTACCGTCTGCTCTTGAACCTGCCCAACATATTGGGCAGGAAACAAAAGGCCCTGCAGGGTCTCCATCTGCATACAGTATTTGTTTAGTTGGCCTTTTTTTTTTTTTTTTTTTTTTTTTTCTCAGCAGAGCCACCCTTTGGTCTGCCCTTGAGCATTTTTGAACCCAGTGGGCTCCTCTAGTCTGGCTGTCCATCACAGTCCATCTCAGTGGCACTGACCACTGAGATGGGAACCCTGCTGCGAAAAGCCAAACCCAGCTGTTGATTCTGCTCCCTCTGTTGTCTCTTGATTTGCCTCTGTCACCTTGAACTGGAAAGCAATATATCAACGTGCCAATTTGCGTTCCCTCGGCCCTCTCCTTCCTCCGTTGCTCTTTATTTATAGAGGTGTTGTTTGATGATGGAATGATCACTCTTGCATTGTTCTAAAAGTGTTCCTCCGCCATCCGGCCATGATGGCACTGGCTGGGGCTGTCTCTGTTAACCGTCTCACACCCTGCAGGCCTGTAGGCTGGCAAAGCCACGGTGGGGCATGGAAAAGGCATGGTGTTCTGCAGGAGCAGGATAACCTGGCTTTCCCTCTGCAGAGAGAGTGATGGCCCAGAGTCCATCATGACTGTCCACCAAGCACGGCTGCCAGACTCTAAAGGAAGAAGTGGTACTTTCTTACCTTGGAACCTGGGTCCGGGGTACAGTGGGCGTGGCTTCATGGTGGTAACCTGGCCTCCCCAGCGGGTGGATGGTTTCTTAGCTGCAATCTTGCTTTTGAGCTCAGCTGTCTGTACTACCCCTGTGCCGGAAGGACCCACGGACACGCTCATTAAAGTCTCCTGAGACTACTTCAGTTTGTGGTGGTTTCTAGACGGTCAGTTTCCTCTGAGTCTGAACCCCCTGCATTCCTGGGGCTTGACAAAACTAGACACCGCGGGCATAGAGAGGTGCCAGTGGTACAGTTGCCCTCACTGTCCAATCAGGCCATGGGCCAGGGGGGAGGGGGAGAAGAGGCCTGCGTGGACCATGGTGGGAAGTCCTGGTTTAGTGGAATCGGGTGCCCACAGGCAGTTGCCAGGCAAGCAGTTGCAAGATTCGGAGTAGCAGCTGAGTCCTCAAGCATGGGGCAGTCTAGTTTGGGCAAGGAACATAGCCTTGGCTAAGGAGGAGAAAGAGGAACCACATAGGATGTTAGTCCTGACCCTGCAGGTGGGGGAAATGGCAATAGGGTAGCTAGCCAGTCCTGCCTACTCTGACGGGCCCTGGTTCTCACCTATACCCATACCCCCGTTTTAAGCCCCTTAGCCTGCTGGGATTGCAGGTTGGGGCAGCTGGACCCTACCTTTGTATGGCATGTAGAGGAGGTGACACTCTTAGCTGCCTCTAGCCTTGCCCTCAGAACCTGCTTATAAGGAAGGTGAAGCTGGTGAAAGCGGGCACGTGATATGGATTCTTCCTTTGATAGTGGTGGCTTGGGAAGAGCCTTGTCATATCCGACTATCCTTTGACAATACCTCTAGCAAGTCACCCTGCCTCTTCCTAGAACAAGGCTCACTCGACAGAGATTGCAAATGGCCAGCCAAGGAGGAGCGTTGAGCAATACGATGTTTCAGTGTGACTCCAGCCTGCAGGGTTGCTCAGAGTAGATTCTCACTGCTCCATTCACCGATTGGCAGGCTGGACAGTGATCACCCTGAAGGACCAAAAGAGCTGCACCCTCACTCTTGGATCCTGAGAGGTCTCAGATGCCCTAACCCCATTCCCACTCCACAAATACATAGATTGACCTTGGATCTGCCCTTCCCAGGAAGCTGTGTGCACAGTGACCAGGAAGGGCTTCTATTGGTATTTGACTTAAGTCCAGCCCCTAAGAGGTTCCAGTTTATGGCCTCTTCCATTGTCTGCCTGGCCCTGTTTGGGAAACTTACACGCATGCATATATTCATAGCCTGTTTTGCATCTCTTACTTTCAGGCAAAAACTGCCTGCTCACCAGGCTTCTGCATGCAAGGGCCAGGTCTGTCCAAACCCAGGTCAGTGATACGACCCAGGGGCAGGGTAATTCGCTGTACCTCAAGTCTGAAGTTATCAACACTTCCAAGAGCCTTTCAAGAAGAGGTTCTGAACCTGTGGGTCGTGACCTCTGGTGGAGGGGTTAAACAATTCTTTCACAGGACCATAGGAAAACAGGTTTGTATTATGATTCATAACAATAGCAAAATTCCAGTTATGAAATAGCAACAAAATAATTTTATGGTTGGGGGTCACCACAGCATGAGGAACTCTATTAAAGGGTCGCAGCATTAGGAAGGTTGAGAAGCACTACCTTAGAGGAAAATGGAGTAACCCCACTCGACATAGAATCCCAGATCCTGCCTGTGAGCAGACGCTGGGGTCTGTCTTGCCTCCCTGTCCCCAAATGTACCAACTTTCTGCTAGATGAGACCTCCACCAGCAGCCTTGGCCTGAATAGAATGGTGTTTATTGATGGGGGCACACGGGCTGATTTTCCGGCATCATGGTCTATCAGAGTCATAGGGAAATTGCAGAAGGGCTTTCCATGACTCTTCTACCCCCATGTCCCAGTGGTCTTAAAAGATGTTTCATGGGTCTGAAGATGGGCCCTTGCAGATATTTCTGGAAAGATAAACAGAAAGATCAAGGCGGTGACAAACTGCTCTTGAAGAGGTCCAAATGGCCTCTACTGGAACAGGGCCCACAGGCCAGCAAGAAAGGAGCAAGATCCCAGCAGAGGTCAAGAGAGCTGTTGGGGTTTGGCTCCCGCCCATCTGGCTGAATAGGAGTGAGAGAAGCTGACAGGCTACAGTCAACTTCCAGGCAGAGTTCTGCATCACCCCCACTCCTTACAGAAAGGCCAGCCAGGGATGTGACGGGCATGCACAGAAATGAGCTCTTAGAGACACACGTCACATTCGTAAGCAAATTAGAAAAGGTACCAGTTAAGTGAGGAAAAATGGTGCCAGAACTCCCTAAACTCAGCAGCCCGGCCTGATATCAGATGATAATAACATTTCAAGAAAGGCTTCAGAGCTCCCCAGGTTATGTCTCTAGCTACAGAAGTACTTCGGAGGCTTAATCTACATTCCTGTCCTATGTATGGAACCTGGGAAAGATCAAGACAGCTTGGGCTGTCGAGCAAGACCATGTTTCAAAGAACAAACCAGAAAGTACCATGCAAAGATGGAGGGGAAAATTTACAGGTCAAGTATTGTCAAGGTTGCCGGAGGTACCATGACCAGAGCGAGAGGCGGACTGGACCAAAATGCCACCCAGTGCCTCCACCTGCCAACAGATCAACTCGGCACTTCTGGCTTCTAGAACTGAGACATAAGTCAGTCCTGGTTTTCTGGAGCCCTGTAGTTTGTAAGTTTCTAACACGGCCATATAAAGCTAATATTGTCACACACCTAGGAAGTCAAGATGCTTCCATCAGTCCCAGGGCCCAGAGCCTAACGGAGAGAGACAGAAGCCAGCAAGGCAGGCATAAAGGTCACCCCCACCTTGGCAATGGTGCAGCACAGCATGCAGGCAGAGGGCTTGCTGACCTGATCTACAGGCCGTGGCTGCCCCTCTCCAACCACCGGCTGTGCTCACCAAGGCCCCGAGAAAGTGGAGAGTGTCTTCGCCTGCCGTGTCCTCGCTCGCCTCTTCCTGTCTCCTTGTGTTCACGTCCTTTCTAACCTTGAGTTTCTAACCATGAGTCCCACATGGGTCTCAGTCCTCTGCAAGACCCGCTAGTGTGGTTTGGAACTGGCCACCTTTGCCTCACAGACAGCTCCTTTCCCGCCCTCAGAAAGCATGGGAGAGTTGGAAATGTGGGCCAGTGGCTCAGCGCTAGCCTAAGACGCAGCCCCTGGGCTTTGTCACTAGCGCTGCAAAGGGTTGCGGCTGCGAGGGGGGGAGGGGAGGCATCCACCAAGGCAGCTGTTTGCTCTGAATTTGACATCAGGGAAATCTGCCTTGAAGTGGGATGTGTGTGTTGGTGTCTGCTGGGGAATCACATCAAGCACCAAGCTCATTACCATTGAGCTGTAGCCTCACTCTGAAAGATCAATTTTTAAAAGTTTTTATTACATTATATCTCAATTATACATAATAGCTCCATTATGACATTGTATGCATGTATAAAATCTATTTCAATCATACTCATCTTCCATTTCCTTCTCTTGCCCCTCCTACTTTTATCAATACCTTCCTCTTCCCGACTAGTTTCTACTCTTGTCATGTCATGTGCATGTGTCTGTCTGTCAATGACCCTGTGGTCACATGAGGTTTCTCTTTCTCATTTCATTAAGATAGGTATCTTTGCTGGGTATAGTAGTGTGGGCTGACATAGCTTTGCTGGGTATAGTAGCCTAGATTGCGTTGTTCTCTTTCAGAGTCTGAAATACCTCATTCCGAGCAATCCTGGTTTTAAAGTGACTTTTCAAGAAATATGCTGTAATTCTGAAGGGCCTGGCCTTTCTGAGTTGGTTCTTCTGGCTTGTCACTTTCAACAAACTTTGTTTGTTCTGTATATTCACTTATAGCTTAACGAGGGGAAGTTCTTTTGTGGTCTTGTCTGCTTGGTATTTTATATCTCTCCTGTATCTGGAGTGACATCTTTTTACCTATTTTCAACCATGATTTTGTTGAAATTGTTTCTGTACCCACCTTTAGGATGAAATTTGTTGCTCCTTGACCATGAGTCTTAGATTTGTTCTTTTCACAGTGTCCCAGATGTCTTGAAATTTCCATTTACACCATCTGACTAATTTATCTTTACCTTTGTTCTGATTCCTCTCCTCTGTCTTTGGGTTTAAATAGTTTGTTCTTTCCTGGGTCCTTTCTGTTGATGAAGCTTTCATTGTTTTCTGGGTTTCGTTTCCAGTATTTCAGTTTGGTTTTTCTTCAGTATTTTTCTTTATTGAATTCCTAGCCCAAATCTTGTGACATCAGTCACAATCAACTTCCTATTTCATTCACCTATTTGTGTGTGTGTGTGTGTTCTCTTGGAATTCATTTGGGATTTTATTCGTCGAGTTTTTTTTTAAATATTTATTTATTTATTATATATACAACATTCTGTCTGTGTGTGCCTGCAGGCCAGAAGAGGGCACCAGACCTCATTACAGATGGTTGTGAGCCACCATGTGGTTGCTGGGAATTGAACTCAGGACCTTTGGAAGAGCAGGCAATGCTCTTAACCGCTGAGCCATCTCTCCAGCCCATTCATCGAGTTTTTTAAAAGTATTTCTGATCCTTCTTTTGACTTATGTGTCTAAGATTTTTGTCTAATTTACCCTCACTGAAGGTCATTACTGTGGGATTAGTAATTTCTTTTTCGAGACAGGGTTTCTCTGTGTATTCCTGGCTGTCATGAAACTCATTATGTAGAGCTGGCTGTCCTTGAACTCACAGAGATCTGCTGCCTTTGCCTGCCTCCCAAGTGTTAGGATTAAAGGCATATGCCACCACTGCCTGGCCTTTTTATTTATGTTTTGGGATTAGTAATTTTTGAAGGAGTAGTATTATCTTGGTTTTTCATGTTCTTTATATTACTACCACATTAGGTTTTACGTAGCTGGGGTTATTTTATTGCTTGGAATTTTTTTTCCTAAGTTGTATTCTTTCATTTGAAGTATTTGCAATGTTCAAGTAAGATGAGAATGTGATAAAGTGAGGTACAGAATTCAGAAATCACACCCTATCTAGGAACTGTGTGTACCTAGTGTGATATAATCTCTACCAGAGTAGACCATTAACTGTGGGAGCTGCCACAGTGTTGGATATGCCCGCTATGTAAATGTCCTACTAGCTAATTAACAACACTGGTCCCATTGACTTTG